TATCAGAATCACCCGGGATGCTGACTGATGCAGTACATTTAAGTTCTTCACCTCACAAGAACTAAAACAATCTTTGGACATAAGGCTTAGGAAAAAAATCCACATTTTGAACTGACTCCTGGAGTCATTTTAAGGCAGTTTCTGGAAAAAAAAAAACCCCACAACAGAAGTCCTCTGCCTCTGAATAGAGATAGAGGAACCTGCCACATGAATATGCACACCAAAAGGAAACTGCCTAGAACATGATTTGGTCAATAATTGTTTTGTTACAGTCCATAGTACCATCTTAATTTTTGTACTTAATTATTTCTTAATATGGTTTTCTCAGGAGAAAGAGACAAATAAAAAAACCAACTAATTGAAATGGAGACTTAAAAGTGATTAAATAGTTCACAAAGTCCGAGGTTTATGCTAGTATAGTCTAGCATCACTGTTCATATCCCTTCTATAGCTGAGAACTGTGTTCTGAGAACTGGCATTTGCATTGCTCCTATTCATTCATTAACAAGACCCTCAATCATCATAGAATATGATCATTGATAAGAAACATCTCTGTTAACAGATTTTTAAGAATATTGTTTCAGAAAGAATTATCTATTTGGTTTAATTGATCCTCTGTTTAATTACAATTTGATAGAATTAGTCTTTTCTAGAATGTTCTATTTTGCCTAAGTTTGGCTTTTTAAAAACTTGATCAACAACGTCCTGTCTTCCCTGCCCCCAGCCCCCCACACATACACAATTTCTGAGTCAAGGTCTGAATATGCAGCACAGGCTGGCTTCTGTGGCTGGGATTACAGGGAAAAACCACCTGGCATCAGCATGACTTTCATTAAGAATCTGTTATTTCTACTTTATTTTATTAGTTGTGAGACTTGAACTCAGGACTTGGGTGCTGTCCCTGAGCGTTTTTGCTCAAGACTAGCATTCTACCACAGCTCTACTCTGATTCTTGAGGGGTTAATTGAAGATAAGAGTCTTACGGACTTTTCTGCCCTGGCTGGCTTTGAACTGCAATCCTTAGATCTCAGCCTGAATAGTTAGGATTACAGGCATGAGCCACCGGCACCTGGCAAGTTATCTGTTATTTAAAATGGATTTTTCACTATAAGAAGAAATGAATAGACTCAAGATGGTATCTTCTTACTATTTTTTACAAAAGAATTTAATTTCTTTGGCAGTGTATTTTTCCTCCTTGGAATAATTTGAATATTCAAACACAGTTCAATTTGCGTAAGACTTATTTGTTCTGAAAATTAATATTAAACTCATTTAAAACTAATGTCAATATTAAACTACAATGAATTAGTTGATTCAAGCATTTTATTTTGACTTTCAAATTATGGCTTGTTGAGTATAATATGAATGAAAGAAAATTAAAGACAGAAATCCAGATAAATAAGTTAAGATACATCTACTTATTTTTCTTGGCAGGACCAGGACAATATATGCTGTTTTCCGCTATAAAAGTGGCAATCAGCATACTGCCTGGTGTGTGTTAGGGTCAAACATCTATTAAGACTGAATTTGGAACAAAAATAGAGATGCTTTATAAACGTTGGATGATTATTTTTGTCCTGGTAGCTAATGGTGGTAGGGAAGTGAAAAGATTTGTTTTAATTTCAATGGTTTATTTGAAATTTCATTTACCTCCCTATTTGACCCCTTAACTGAGTGACAACGTGCGTTTTTTTTTCTTTTTTTCATTTTTTTGTACTGGGGATGGAACCTAGGACATTGTGCTTGCTAGGAAAGTGCTTTGCCACTGAGCTACATCCCAGCTCTTGCATTTTTTCTAGAGAAATATTTCTGTTATCAAAGAAGCAAATGTTTTATTAAAGGATGGCACATGATTCCAAGGAGAGCTTAAACATGAAGATGAGAATAGAAATCTTACTTTCCAAATTTAACAATCAATTCATATGGTGACTGGATTGTCTGATATGCCAGGTGTGTTAGTGAGTACAATGACGTACTACTTGCGCTTACTATCTTCCCTGAGGGACCAGGAATCCTGACAGGAACAATCAATCTTTCAAGAAGAAACTAAATCTCCTGATGAAAAAAGTTTCACTGAACTATTTGTTCAAATGACTATGTTCTGTGAGAGGTGGACGAATTTTTCAGACAAAACATTAAATAAGAAGTCAATTAAGAAAGCCAAAATAGTCCGATTGCTTTTACTCTAGTGTTCAGGAAGGAATTAAAACAGCTGAAATGCTGCATAATGTGTGAGTCCTGAGAACTCTGTGCTTTCTACTCTTAGTGACATTTAGGTGACCCTGGAAAATTCTACAGCCTGATCAGACATCTCTTTAAAAGGACTGCTTTTGAGAAACATCTTTTCAATATGAGTCTGGAGGGGAAAATGAGAAAGTCTTTAGTTAGAATAATTTTAGGGGTATGGTAGGTGAGTTTTCACTCATGAGGAATTCTTGGATAGGATTGATATAGGTTTTAAAGCGAACTTGTGTGTGTGTGTGTGTGTGTGTGTGTGTGTGTGTGTGTGTGTGTATGTTAGTGACTTCTTTTGCATAACTGAATGTGAAACTCAGAGCCATGTGCTCCATTACTTGAGCTACATCTCCAATCCTCAATGACATTTTCTTTTTTTTTGGGTCCAGTCGTGGGGCCTGAACTCTGGGCCTGGGCGCTGTCCCTCAGCTCTTCAGTTCAAGGCTAGCGCTCTACCACTTGAGCCACAGTGCCACTTCTGGCTTTTTTCCCCCTGCTTATGTGGTGCTAAGGAATCAAACCCAGGGCCTCAAGCATGGAAGGCAAGAGCTCTACCACTGAGCCACCTTCCCAGCCCCTCAATGACATTTTAAGAAGAAAATATTTCTCACATGTGCTAGGCAAATGTTCTAACACTAAGCTACAGGTTTAGCTCCTGCCACTCTATTAAATAAAATGTTCCATGTCTTTCTAAAATGCTTGTCCTTAATGAAGTCAGAAAGATTCCAGATGATGGTAGCTTTTATTTTAAAATAAAACTTTGGGATTATCTAATTAAACGAGAGAGCCCTCGTGAGAGCTACGCAGCTATAGACAAGTCTATATTTAACTTGCAAGAAAGTAATAAAAAATGGCAGCAGTAACTGATTTTCTAAAGCAATGTAATCACAATCATCCTTAGCCTAGGCCTCGGCCTAGGACAGGAAGAGATGATTCCACATACATGTGGTAGTTCTTTAATAATACACTTGCTTTCAGCCTGCTAGAGACCAAATCTGGAAAACCATCAGTAGACTGGTGGAAGTTAAACTCACAGTCCCGATATGGCTGTCCCTTAGGTAAACTGTTACATTTAAGGTAATAATATGCTATTGGAAATTACTCTGGTACTTGGGTCTCTTCTAATATTGTCAGGACTTGGCGCAAGTCTTTGTGGACCTCTGTAAATTGCTTTACAGTATTCAGATTTTTAGACTACAATGTTGGGAATCTGTATTGTAGAAAAATGATTTAGAAAAACATTATTAGAAAAAGCAAGGAAAAAAGGGTTCTTTTATTCCAGTGAGAACTTTTCTTGTTTGATATAAAGTCACTCAGCCTTTAGAGATTTTATATATTAAGATGAACTGTTTCTTTCCCCCAAGCCCAAAAGGTCTATGCAAACAGAACTCTATGAAATTAGAAACCTGGTAGTCTAGATTCATGCGAGATTGCTAATTCCTTGGGAGTTACGGATTTATTTTATTTGGATGAAAGATATAGATCTCTATACTAGAACAAATATTTTGATTTTTTTTGCAATAATCCTGTAGTCAAAAGGCATGTGGACAAGAAGCAGATTAAGAGCACAATTGGCAGAATTGGTATTTGATGGCACATCTGACTCCATACTCAAGTTTGTCTTCTACTACATGTCTTCAAATTCCTCAGAATGGCAAATCACAGCCTTCAATGTTGCTATGGACTTTCTGTGGAAGTCTAATCACTGGTTCTTTCTCCTAGCCCTCCCAAATGGATGACACACCACCAAACTACTTAGAGGGATTCAAAGTATCACACTGATCTTTGAAGCTCTCATTTCTGCTTCCTGAAAATTCTTTCTCATTTCACCTGCCTCCCTTATAGCAACTCTAAGTAACTATATTTGAAGACACGATTCAAAAATGAGGTTTTCTAAGATGGCTTTCCTGCCCACCTTGCCTCTCTAAGATGTCCTTCCTCTCTGTTGTCAGTGAGCCTTTTGCATATTGCTGTCACAATTCTGTTCATCAAGCTGTGCCACAGTCCATGTCTGCTTGCCTGCTTTTTCCAGGGCATTTTAGGGCCTGATTGTGTCTGTGTGTGTGTGTGTGTGTGTGTGTGTGTTTGTGCAGATATGACTGAAGTCTTGCTGATGACTCAAATGGCTTTTTTCATCTTGGAATCTGATATACTGACCTGTTTCACATGTGTAAAGATACATTTTTTCCTTAAAGAACTTTAGCACATGCAATATTAATTGAGCCATATGTTGCCTTCTCTCAGCAGCACGAATTACACTGATAACAGTGAAAAACGTATGCTTGTTTCAAATGAATAATTTGATCCTATTTCTGCAAACAAGTATTCATTCATGTTTACCAGGCAGTTATTTCTTAATATACAGTCCTATTTTGTTTTCTCGATAATACGTTAGAAAATTTAAGTACAAATTTTGAGGTTCCTTTTGCAGCAGGAACCATTTAGCTGTATTAAATAAATTGAAAAGTACTATATATTTAAGAGTTCTAGTTCTCACGTGAAAATACATTGGCATTATGCCTCCAAATGTATAGTGAACAGAATATAGTGATAAATGATGAGTAAAGTAGGAATATAGAAACAAAACTTAAGAATTTTATAAAGGAACTCTGAAAGAAACAAGCATGTCTTTATAAAAGGAAACAGAGCAGAGGGGCCAGTAATCAATCAAATTTTGGATTTCCTTTTTGGTTCTCAGTCCTCATGCTTTGTTACATGTTGAAAAATATTGCTACAACTTTAATTTCCCTTTTTCCCACTTTTAGGCCAAATTTACCGATGACTGCAAGTTCAGGGAGCGATTTCAAGAAAACAGCTATAATACCTATGCTTCAGCAATACACAGAACTGAAAAGACAGGGCGGGAGTGGTATGTGGCCCTGAATAAAAGAGGGAAAGCCAAAAGAGGCTGCAGCCCGCGTGTGAAACCACAGCATATATCCACCCACTTTCTACCAAGATTCAAGCAATCTGAACAGCCAGAACTTTCTTTCACAGTTACCGTTCCTGAAAAGAAAAAGCCACCTAACCCTGTCAAGCCAAAGGTCCCTTTGTCTACACCTCGAAAAAATCCCAATACAGTGAAATACAGACTCAAGTTCCGCTTTGGATAATTCTCATCTTCATTTTGGGAGAACCTACTCTTTACTCTCAGGAGTTTCTGCAGGTGTCTTCAGAGCTTTGAAGAACTGTCAAGACATGATCTCAGACTGAACTTAGACTGTATGGAAGTCAGGTCATATGTTTTGGTTTGACTAAAACAAAAAAAATGCTTTCTTTGCTATTAACAGAACTGGATTCTGTGTTTTAATACAGGGAGTATACCACTTCAGCTCAAAAACACATAAAGCCTTTTGCTTTGTGTTTAGGGGATATTTAGAATTCCACATTTTTCAGAAAGTTAAATAGTCTGGACTATGTATTTTTCTGACCTTTAGAGATCCACTTGAAAGAGCAGACATGATACATTTTATTTTTTTGGTTTCCAAAGAATATTTTGATGCAGATAAAATATTTTATTAACTTTTTTTGTTTTGTTTTTCTTAAAGTACCTCTGCATTGAGCATATTTTCTTACTTTTATTATTCTAATTAATATGACGAATAATCATTTTATTGCTGTTTTTGAATTACATATGTGTTCCTAGCTTATGTGTAACATGGGTATTTCCTTTGTATTTTTTAACTGACTGTGTTATTTTTTATTATTTTATTAATCATACCTCAGATAATGTAAGCTTAGTTCAAGATTTTCAAATGCTTAAATTCTCCTCCACAAAACCAAAGGATCAGCATGGATTTGTGCGTGTTGACACAAATTCATAGCATTATGTGGAATCCTACCCCTTTAGTGGCCAGGGTATAATGGTTAGAAATAAAGAGACAACAGAACATTTTGGTGAAATTAAAAGTTGGAGGTTAAAAAAAAAAAAGGATTAGAGGTTAAAAGTACACTAAGTTTGCAGCATTTATTGCGATCTAAATCTGTCTTCCTTGGTTTCTCTTTTCATCTATCCCTGTCCTCATTCTCAAACAGCTGAAGGAATACATTTTATTCTGTCCATCAAGCATACACTATGAAACTGGAGTGCTTAAAAATACTTCTCTGACCTTGTTGTCCTTACTGTACAGATCCACAGGGAGCAGCCACTTATAAGGGGCGGATGGAGAACTGGAGATGAATCGTTGACCAGTTGCCCATGTTGAGCCCATTGTCAAAAATTCTTATTATTCAGCTAGATACCTTTTGAAATTCCTATCCTAAAAGGAATCATTCCAGTGAATAGATCTACCCTTTTATAAAGAAAGTTTCTGATGTATATTTTTTACAAAAAATCTGGCCTGGTGATATGGGAAACTTAATTTGGGATTTTGATGAGCTGAAAGGCAGTTTATGCTCAGCCCCAAAGTTGAATGGTGGACACAAATCACAGTAAATACAACTGACAGTGATCTACACCATTTATTTTCTTAGATAATCATTTTTATGGAGTTCCATGAAATGCAAATGTTCATCTTATATTCAGAAATGTTGCAATAAAAAAGCTATAGCTAATGTTTAGAAGTATGTCATTTATAGTAAAGAGCAAAAGTTTGTGGTTTGCACTTATGTATATTTATAGAATATTGATGAACTTTTATTATTTTTTTCTTAATGAAGTTTGGCTTATTTGGTGCAGAGTGAAAATGTATCAAAATTGAACTTTGCTTGCCCCCACAAATTGTATCATTTCAATGGAAACAAACTACTCCTGTATATATTATGTATATAAAAATCCATCTACCAATTAAAATATTACCCATATACTCTCGTATAGTATAGTAATTCATCAAAGTCAATAATCTGACTAAAAATTAGTTGCATTCAATGCATGAATTTAAAGTATAAAAATGCTACAAAAGTTTAAATTAGTTTGTTCTTTAGATTATTCTTGGGTTGAGTAAAATAATGTTTTCCAACAAGCACCTCTCTAACTGGCAAAACACCTTATATTCAGTTTTTTCTAATCTATTGTCAAGAATCGTGAACTACATACTGAATTCTTAGACTATATAAAGTATTTAAATTGTAAAACAGGAAACTACTATCTGTGTTTGTAAATGGATAAAGGGCAGATGATAAGAACAAACTAATATAACAAATAGTTTACACTAAAATAAAAAGAAATCACTTACCTTGTACTCTTACTTTTATTTGATTTACATATGACAGTTAAATTAGGATAGCTACCAAATATATATTATGCAAGTCAGGACTCATTAATTTTAAGTTTTAAAGACCATCTAAAATTTAAAAACAAATTATCATTGTCTGCAGTTTACTGATCATAAAATTGCATTTGATTAATGCTTAGTTAAGCATAAATTTACCTAAATTAATTCTACATGGACGCATATAGACATAACATGCATAAATAAATATAACTCCTTAGTCCTAAAAGCGTATATAGTTTTGGAAGTAACTAGATCTAGCATCAAATGAATGTGATAGTTATTATGCTTACCTAAAAATAAATGCCAGTGAATTTTATACTAATATGTAGGGACTCAATTTATTTCAAAGATAGATGACAAATGTCTTCACTCAGACACTTTAGTTTTATATTGTTTAAAATTTAATTTACTACTTATTTGGAGCATTTCTAGAAATATATGTTTCCAAATAAGCCATATAAAATTGAATTTTTACTTCACAAAGTCAATTTACTTCATTCTAAAATGAGCCCTTACATTTAAGAATATGGGTGTGTATATAAGCTACCCTAGTGTTTTTGTTTGTGTGTGCGTGTTGTTTTGTTTTGTTTTTAGTTATAATACTCTAGGAGTTGGAAATTATGTGACAAAAATGAGGGACGCTGGCAAAAGTTGCTTTTATGTATATATATAAAACCTAGTAACTGAAAAAGAAACATCAAACACCAAGTAGGAAAATTTTCTACAAAATTCATCTTACAGTAGCAAAATGATTTTCTTACCAGTAACATAATTTTTTGTTTACCTTTCCAAGTGAGGGAGAAGCAAAACCATGACTTCTCACACTTTCAAAGGCAAAATGAAAATAATACACTAATGAAAACTCAAATAGATTCCGGTTTTACAGTTGTAGCCAATAGTATAGAGCTACTTCTAATGATAAAGATAGTAAATGCAATGGGAAAAAAGAAGTAATTTCTCAAAGGAATTCTACACTTCCTTTTTAAGGTTTTACTTCATTGCCACATTTGAATTTTTTACATATAATTTCTACTTCTTAAGCCAATGATATTTTTTTAAAAACATGTTTTTTTTTTCTTTTTTTCACAGAAGGAAACTTTGAGATATATGAGAATGGTTCATTTATGGTAGGCAGTCCAATTGTACTGGATAGGTTTTGAAAGAAGGTTTTCATATGAAGAAATACTCCTCCACAGACTCTTGGTTCTACTTGAAAACCTCAAGTCAGAGGCGGTCTTTTTAACATCAAAGAAATTACAAAGAGCATTAAACCATTTAAGTGAAATAGCTTCAACCAATATTTAATCAATGTTATTTAAAATAAAAGAGGTAGATCAAGAGTCTTATATATTTTTTCAATTATTAAATTACATTTGGTTTGACTCTGTCATAGACATCACATTTTTGCCTTGACTATTGGATCTCCAACATCACTTTCAGCTTTATTAATGATTATGTGAGTCAAAATGTTAACAGTTCTACTGAGGTAGGAAAAAGGGACATGGTTCTTCTTCAGATGAAATAATCCATAGCTGGATAAAACAAGAAAGCTACATGACAATGTCCAGAAAATAATATAGATTTTTTTCTTTAAAAAAATATCATTTTAGTTTAAAAAACAAAAGCAAAACTCAGGGCTGGGAATGTAGCTCAGAGCATTTGCCTAGCATTTGCCTAGCTTTGGTCTTCAACATGAAAACCGTTGTGTGAGTGTGAGATTGGATCAAGAGACTTACAAAATTGGGATCGATCCCAAATTTAGTGTTTTATAAAGGTCATTGAAAATTTGAATGAATCCAAACAGGAATTACCAGAATGGTATGGTTATTGGTAATAAATAGTTCTAGAAACACAAACATAAATTTTGAGTATCTTTTCATGATTGAAGTTCCATATTCCCCACGTTTCACAGAGAAATATGAGCAATATTTATTGGACAGCCGAATAAAGACAGCTCACAATTCAACTTTCTGTCACCTTTTTACTGACTTTCCTACTGACTCAAGAAGTGGTTTTTCTGAGATCCTGCCTTGTATAAAGCACCCAACTATTTCCTCCGTATTTTTTCAGTATATATATTTTTTGTAGATACTTGCATCAGTGTATTCTTGTATTGTCAAACTCTGGAGGGAATACATCTGATCTCATTGAACTGTGCACAACTTAACATCAGGCTAATATAAAGAATCTAAGAAATTCTCTTAGCTGATAGTAATTTTGAATGACATGTCCTTCTGACTTAAATATTTTATGAAGGCAATTGGATATTCTACTTACTCATAAAGCTTAGTATGTATATTTCTAGGTTCCTGACATATGCTACTTGCTCTAAAATGATTTTTTCTTAGGATGGAGAGAGTTGCAACATAAGATTTGTTTAAAGAAGATAAAGAGAATTTCATGTTAGATACAAGACAGCTCCTACAATAAGAATAGGAATGTCCACTGGCCCTCTTGTCCTTGAATTTCTTACACACGAATTTTGAGATTAAACTAAAAGCATCTGGCCCTTCAAGCTGCATTTATGAATCAATAAATTAGTTATCCTGTGACACTTCAATTTCATTGGCAATCATAAAAATAGGTTATATGAAAATTCTGATGGTTTTGCTATTTGTAGGACAAACAAGTAATCCAGTGAGATGTCAGTAGGTAACAGTGGGAGAGTGAAGACATTTCTTCTTGGTAAGTTATTTCTAGATGTGTTATTTTTTTTCCCTTTCCTCAGATAAATTCCCTCAGAGAAGACTTTTTCTGTACCCTACAGAGAGATTAGTGAATGCATAATCACACAGTGACAGGTCCCATTCCAATGTGTTTCTCATTAAATTCTCTGTTGTCCCCTCTGTGGGAAACTGAAAAAAAATTTTTTTTATCAGATTTTCATACATGGAAGTGAA